TCGACGACGGTGGCGTTCCTAGGAGTTGAATCATGTTTTTTTCACGTGGTGATATGAAGAACTGCGACAGAATGGAGCTTTGTCGCACGACTGTCCTGTTATTCTAAACGGGAAAGTGCGATCGGTTGTTTTCCTTCGTACATCAGTAAAATGAGTGAGGATCGAGTTCGTACCCCAACCTTATGAAGCCTACCCACCGTACAAATTTTGGAATTGCAATGAGACTCGGCACTTGATGTTTGTTTTCTCACTTAACGCTCATACATAAGTATCTAGATATCTATATGACAAAGCCAGATTTTCGTCTTGTTAAAGCTGCTTTGGAGACCATTTCTAGCCCAGATTGAGTACCACCGATTCATTGGAAAACATACAAGTGATACCAGTTCTAGCAGATTTTTTCGCATTCAAGTTTACCAGTCGAAATGTCTTAGAGCTATTTGTATTATCGAGATATAGGAGGTGTATATTTTCTAGCCTAGCGAAACACTAACTCTATTTCAAACACTGTGATATGCAAAAAGTGGCTTCTTATGATGTACGAGTTGTACTGAGTGACGAAATTTCTGAACTGCGACTCAAACCCTGCAGGAACTTATAGAACAATGCACTTAGCAGAAGTTTACGATCTGTATATTTCAGTACAACTCTGTGTTTGGATCTGCACTTTCTTAGACCTGCTAGCCAGTTCAACGCTTGTGAGTTTTATGGAACTAAGAAATCTCCAGAAAGTAGCATTTAAAATTCTAACACTCTATAAAATTTTTGGAGTTTTTGCATTGTTGATAAATACCTGTATTCCTCAGTGAAATAACTATTTTTCAATTCTAGGAGGCATCAGACAACGACGATAGCGGGCTATCTCATCAATTATTGAATAGCCTATATTCAAGAAGTAAATACTAAGATTGACAGCGCAAATTCCGAAAATGAAGTTGTTTTCACATGGGATGAGCACACCAAGGGTTTTACGTCAGCAAACGCATTTGAAAATACACTCTTTCCGGATGCTCATACCTCCTCAATGGTTTTCTTCGCAAAAACCTGCGGAAACCTGTGAAACGCTCTCTTTCTAACGATAGTAAATTACGCAAAAGAGGAAAAGGAAGTGTCCAACAAACAACTACAACTGCAACTAAAAAAGTGGAATCTACATCTGAAGGAGCGGGGAACAACACCTGATTCTTTGAAAACTTCAACCTCTACTTCTTTACAAACTACAACCTCTCTAAATACTACACCCTCTACTTCTTCAATAACTACACCTTCTACTTTGCAAATAACTTCCACCTCTACTTTCCAAACAACTACTCCCTCTCCTTCGCCGGAAGCACCACCCTTTTCTCCAGAAATTTCATCCTCTCCTTCTCCAGAAAGTTCATCGTCTCCTACCCCACGAACTTCATCCCCTTCTCCGCAAACCTCACCTCCTTCTTCTATGGAAAGCGAAACCTTTTCTTCTGATGAGCCTTCAGCGTCAGACTCTACGGAGCCTGAGTCTGCAATGTTTCCAGAAAATAGAACAGCAGTGAGTATGGAGTTTTTATTTACTTTTCTCTACTTAGAATCAGGTAACTCCGATAGAGAGCATGCTCCCCCACAGTATCACATGAGCTAATATTCAGCATTTGTAAATCGAAATTTCTGAAGTAAACTCAAGCATAAAACCTTGGAATCTTAAGTGTAACATTTTCTCTTCATCTACCTGAGCCGTCAAGATCTGTAATGATACCTCAGAACAGCGTTTTTTTCATAAAAATTTTTGTAGCTATCCCCATCTCGATTAGGCAGCGCCAAATCGCGCGCCACATCACTTCTGTGAGATGTTCCATTTTGTTATAAATAATTTGCAAAGTATCAAATAAGGGTTTTATAGTCTGACACTCAATAAAATCGTTTTAAACGCAAGCAAATTCAGTAGTTCAGAGATTGGCAACTCCAAAATATAGAAAACAAAAGTCACATCAGCGAGTTTATATCAACTTCAAGAACTCAGAATCAGACTTCTGATAGTGCAACATTTCTGTTCGCCTTATCAAACACCTTTAGTTCAGAAAAAGCGAAAATGATGTAAAGTGGTGAAAATGAAATCCAGACCCTCATAGTCGATGTGTTGAAGGGTTGCGGTCTCCTATGTTACCCACGCATGTATTTCTTTGCTAATTTATTCGGAAAAATATCATAACGTTCGTTTCGAGTGTTTTCTTAAGACCACAGCTCAAAATTCATTATGCTTTGCAATCATTTTTGAGCCACGCATGTCAGTGGTCTGTCAATGAGGGGTGACTTATAGAGCTCGATACTCACTCACAGAGATTAGCAAAAGACGAGAAAGGGTAACTGCCCGACTGACGAGATCGCACGATCGAAACACGTGTATCGGAATCTATAAGTCAGTCCTCATTGACAGACCACTGACATGCGTGGCTCAAAAATGATTGCAAGGCATATTCGGAGAAAGTTTGACTGAACTTAGGAAAAACTTGTACTTTTGAAAGTCCAACAGAGTTTACTTGATCTTGAAAAAAGATGTCAAAGAAATGTGCTTTCCTGCTTAGTTTCAAAAACATTCTACGTGAAATTATTCCACATTCTTAATCGACCTTTTCAAAATAAGATGTACTTTTGATTTCTCACAAAGTATGAGTAGTCATTTGATAATCTAGGTCAAAAGCCTTTAATTGATCTATTTTGCTTTCAAAGTGGCTTTATAATTTCGCTGCATCGGCGAAAATAAAACTATGTTGCTTATTCAAGCATTTCTCGCTGAACACAGCTTTCGCTTTAGAGTTCCACTGAGCATTCGATAGCTTAAATATCGCCCATTTCAATTATGCATTTGGTTTCTGTGAAGGACTTTTTGGGCACTGTCATAATTAAATAAGATTGAGTTTTGAAAATATGATGGAAAAAGCGCAATGGCATGGTGGCAATGTTGCGAAATCCTATCCACAAACCGACAAAACGCGATGATTTGGTGCCAATGTCGCTTTGCGTTAAACTCAACATTCTTTTGACTAAAACCACGCACTAAAATTCTTTTACGAAAGACCTATAAAAACATGAAATCGCCGAGAGTATCGCTATTGAATGGTCATTGAAAGTCTGGAGGCAAAGCTTTGCTCAGCGGGAATATTTGAGCGAGTAACATGATTTTAGTTTTGCTTTCACTATGCAGTAATAAAGCCACTTTAAAAATAATATATAATGTGAAAGTTTTGAAACTAGAGCTATTAGACAATTGTCGAAATTTTAGAAAAAAAAAAAGTCTCTTTATAAACGGATCAAAAAAGGCGCGTACTCAATATTCTTTTGGCTGTTACAGCGCAACCGAAAGTTCGAAAACCACTTATATCATCAGAATGGTCCAGAATTAAATTGTTAAATAGTTGCTAAAAGTATACAGGAAATGTTGTCCACTGAGACATTTTTGAATGGGAAGCATAATCTTATTTCTGCTGTTAAAAACGCAATGATAAATCTAATTTAAAAATAAAAGCACAGTTTAAAGTCTCTCAATTGAACTATGGAATGGCTTTTAACTTTTGGAAGAAACCAAAAACTACCTCCTTTCGAAGGATCGAAGCAGGGTGCGGATAGTGGATTAGTACCGTTTTTTCCCTCTGATTGTTGCCATAGTGTGAAATTTGAACCGATTTTATACCCGTAGTAAGCCGCTTATCTGAATTTGAATTATATTCATGCAGGATTATTTTGGCGGAATTAAATTGAGTGCGGCTATATATAATATATTTGAAGGGTACTGAAAGTCTATAACGTCGTAAGTCTCATATTTTCAGCCCTTTTCGGAATGTGAGCCTCATCCGTGACAAAGGTGCAAAAAGCAAAGAAAGTTCGCATGATGAATCCTTGCTGAAGTATGTGCTTACCTCACTCATTTTTAGAGCGTATTCATGCAGCGTTTCTAATTTTAGCATCGGAGCTCTTACACTTCTCATTTGTACGATTTCGAACACAATCCTTCTCGCCATATTGGCCGCTCTTCTGCTGACGCAGACGAATAAGAACAACCCAAGAAAAGGAAGTGTTAAAAACTTGAAGAACAGCAAGATTAGCTTGAAAAGCGAAAAGGCCAATTCCAAATTGAAATCGAAATCAGTTATTTCGGACTAATTATTAGATGACGATAGAAATAGTAACCATCGGTTAATAAATGTGAAACTTTAATTGTTTCAAAAAAAGCACCTATTTGTTTGATTGGCGTTTTTTAGCCCGCTATTGAGAGTATGATTATACGTGTATGCCATACCATGAAACAAAAAAAGAAATTACAGAGTTTTTTCCCGGCGTTGGTGATCAAAGGTCGAAGCACTTTTCTCGTAGATTCTTATTCATCACAAAGCGACCCATCAATATTTGATCCCATTCGCTGAGTAACAACTTTTCATAGGAGTGCTAGTAATCATTCGAAAGCACCAAAAACATCACTGGAATCCCTAAGATTTGACCTATCGACAACACTTCAAGAAAAAGTTTTGGAAAGAAATGTTGAACGAAAACTAAAATTTATTTTTGCTCTTCCAGCGCAATATTAAAGCCTTTTTAGACAGGGAAAAAACCATTCAAATTCTTCTGATTTAAGCTATCGAAGGGCTACTCAAAAATAATTAATCGACCGAAAAGGAAGCAAAAACACGGCCTCAGCTGGGAATCGAACCAGCGTTCCATCCTATACGGGAACGCGTGCTCTAACCACTACACCACGAAGGTGCATTTGCCCGACCACTCATTCTTCAACATCTCTATGTTAGCTATCAGCCACCAACCTTCAACAGGTTTGGTCGGATATGCGATTTCACTTTATAAATCCCGTTAAGCTGACAGCTATTGTTATATATACTTCGAAATTATAGTATTTCTACTGCTTATTTCGCAGTGTTATGATGTTACTTAGATAACTTAGAGAACTGAGTGATAGGGAAGTTTGGTGGCTGATAGCTAACATAGAGATGTTGAGGAATGAGTGGTCGGGCAAATGTGCTTCGGTGGTGTAGTGGTTAGAGCACGCGTCCCCGCATAGGATGAAACGCGAGATCGATTCCCCGCTTGAGGTCGTGTTTTCGCTCACCACTCAATTTTCTAAGTTATATAAGTAATATCATAAAATTGCGAAAGAAGCAGTAGAAATACTATAGTTCTAAAAAGGAAGCTTTTCTAAAAGGTCGAAACAGGGTATGGATAACGAAAATGGTACCGAAATTTTTTCTCCGCTCTAAAAGGAACTCCAATTAAAGCGACTGATTAAGATACCACGAAAATTTTTCTTAACATTGATGTGTTTTCCCGCCTTCTAAGGAGTTGCACGCGCTAAAAAATAAAATGAAGGTGAAATGCGAGTGTGGAACATAATTTTTGACCTGGAAACGTTAAGAAGGAGTGTGTTGAAAACCGGCGAAATTTTGCTGTAGCCTGAAGTCTCAGCTTTCGAATGGTTACTAGCACTCCTACGAACAGCTTCTCCCCATCGAATGAGACCAGTTTTTCATTTGCTGCCTACTAATCAGAAGGAACCTGATGACGTTTTAAAGTTATGTCGCCTAAACTAAAATTTGCCACTTCTTTGTCGCCTTGAACACATAAGCTGTTGCAGTAAATTAGTCAGGGCTAGTAACACACATTTTTTATGCTATATTATCAGCTGCATTATGGGTTTTACTCACTAAGGAACGCGATGAACCTTACTCACTGTGCGTTGCTTGTGCCCTTTCACTTTTTCAGTTGTTGGCAAGAGGAGCAACAGAGTGGCTTGCTGTGTTCTTCCGCTGAGGCTAGTTATAGTCATAATAGCTACCCGAGTTCCAAGTTGACGTGGTCTATATAATTAGAAGGTATACAAGCTGTCCTAAAGGTACTGCCTATCTCAATCACTATTTTAGAGTGAACAGTGTACACAGTTCCTGTTTTTTTTCAGCCAAACACGAGGGTTTATGAAACATTTATTCAAACATCTGACGATGGGGCGAATTTCGCCTTTTTCAGGGCTTACCGAGACCAAACCTACATTCCAGACACATCAAGCAAAAAACAATCTCTAACATATGAAACTGTAAAAAATAGAAGAATAGCCTGAAACCTAGCCTTCATTTCAGGTTTTAGCGAGGTTGATCTCTCTTCTTGACGATCTAATTTTCTTCTTGACTATCGATGGTTCTTCTTGATGATTGATGGCTAACGTTTCGGCGCGTTCGCCCTCTTTAAAGCTTTAGCGTATTACTGTAACGTTATTCGAAGAATAATAAAGAATGAAAGCCCATAAAATTTTTAAATAAAATGACGATTGCGAATGCTATGGATATTCATTTTCAATTAGAATATTCTGCATGCTTATATGAATAGCGCTACACTGGTACGTTCAGGCTCCGAAAAGGGCGATCACGCCAAAACGTCTGCCCACAATCTTCAAGAAGAGCGATCGGTCATAGAAGAACAATCGGTTGTCAAAAACAGATACCAAACTCATAAAAGCTTAAGTCAAAAACTAGCCTTGGAAGTATTCTATTCTTTTTCACAGCTTTATATTATCAACATGCTGATGTTCAAGGAAAGTCGGTCTTCTAAACCTTCAACATAGCCTTTCAATCGATTGAGTCTTAAAAGCTCGTCAGATATTTGAGTTATATATTTCCAGTTTTTTATTGAGCCAGTCACGAGGTTCGGCTTTTCACTTAGTAATATACGCACGTTTCGACGATTTCTCCATTTAATCAGTATCACACGCTTCATACCAAGAGTAGCAGAACGAGAAGATGCCTCAGTGCTAGTCAACTGGCATTATACGTGTTGTACTGTCTTTCTGCTAGTCGATATCTTACGGCTTTTATTTATTTAAACATTTTCTTCTTTCGCCTGATTGTCGAGACCTTATTAGATCTTCAAGATCTGTATTTCCACAAACTTTTTATTGAGCCTCTCACCAGGATTGGTATTTTATCTTGACATTATACGATGACTATAGAAATACCCAGGATACAGGAAATGTCTTGATAATTTTGCATTTTGCTGATTTCAGCATTGATATAATATTTATAAATCAATGCCGATAAATTTAAGAAATTCTTCGAATTTGTTTTGTTTCTGTCTGTATTTAAGTGTGCTCGATTTATGATTAGAAAAAATCAGCGTATCGCAAAAGTTGAGATGCAGAAGACGGCCAACACTGTTGAAATCGACTGGTTTCAAGCCAGCAAAAGTCTACAGAGCTGTGAAAAGAACACAAAAAGACTGGGGTTCCGAAAGAACTGAGGAAAACAATCTTGTGAAAGGCTTGGTAAAAAATGTGCGGAGACATAAAACTTTGACATTTCATCGCTTTTAATAAGTTTCTCATGAGTTATTGATGTGGAAGCCAATCGGGCAGAAATCGCACACACTGATAGAGCGCCTTCCACATTAATCCTTTTGAAATCACGCGTACCACTCATGGTACACTCGCCTTTTTGTGGTATTCTCGTCGAACACAGAACTCACATCAGTTTTCCAGTAGCCATTCGATAGTTGAAAAAATTGTGGTTCTGATGGCACGTCTGATTTTTGAGAACGCTTTTCTAGTGAGATGTAGCAAAGAAGATAAGATTACACTTTTTTCTATTGATTGTACAGTGTATTTTGCACTCTTGTTTGGTGTGTTCCGCTGTCGTCTAGGCTTGGCTTTTCAGAATAGTATTAGTAGCAATTCCATAGCTTGGAAAGTGGAAATTCTGAAGTGTAACTTATTTTCTTTCCAAACTGAATTTCTAGTGCGCTGTAGCAAGGTAATTTTGATCACATTTCACACTCCGAATAAGGAGCCCGTTGCATGAGCTTCGCAAACGGTGAATTAGCACTCTTTTAGTAGAATTTAAACGATGGAGACAATTTATGATCCAAAAAACCATACGTTAGTGAAGACTTTCTATAATGGTTTTTCTTCAGTAACAAGAGCGCCCACCTGTTTAAAATTTTTACTTTTAATGGAAAGTCTACATTAACGAGGAAACAGCGAATCTCCATTTCCTGTTTATTATTTTTTGATGACAAATAAAAGTGTAATTCAAAAACGCATCTTCCGCAATGTATGATTTTTCAAGAAGCTTATGTGGTGTAACTTTTATCACGCATTCTTTATAAGTCTCAGTATAGCCCAGAATCATCAATTTATAGAATACATCTTCAGAAATTACATTTTTCTGACTCAAATTTCTTGCGGACCTTTCACTATTGGTGTTATTCTTTTGTTGGAATTATCTATTCTGCCATCAAAAATTTATACAATTGGCAACATTCAACAGCAAATTACCCAAAGCATTGCCGGTCTACAATTTATCCGCATCGCCTAGAATGTTGCTTGTTACATAGAACAATTCGTGCAGTCTGGAATAATATACATCAAATCCAAATAATTAATTCTCCTTTCATTATCGTCTACAGTATTACACAACATGATATCTCGACCTAATACATAGCCCTTTGACGAATGCCAGAACGCCTAAGATCACATCTCCGCTAAGCAGTTCGAAACAAGATAAACAAAGATACTGCTTACATCGAGTGTACTTCGTGCTTTTTCGTTTAGTTTTTCTTCGTGCATATGCAATACTTGCATATAAGACCAATTCTGTATAAGATTCAATACAACGCCCTCGACGGGTAAAGTGCCTTCGAGAATACGCCTGGAAGCCTCCTGAGGAGAGATATTGTCATGTAATTATCTAACATAATCCTTTACGTAAGACAAGGGTCATCGTGACTCTCAGCTAGGCGCGCTGTTCGGACGGTTACGAAGATTGGTGCGTGCTCCAATAGAAATTCCAGTTAATTAAGTCCTCAGAGGAACATTACCATCAAAAAGCGACGAAATGTCATCGATGAGACTCCTGTACGAGTCATTTTAGTAAGATCAGCTAATGCTTTCCAAAATCTTGACCTTTCCAAAAGAACAAACCACGTCTCCGAAAAGGAATGTTTTCCCAATTGCTATTGAAGATTTTCTCCTATCTTCTTGATGTTTTTGTTGATGATCGATAGCTTGAAAAATTTTAATTTTGATAGCAAGCTTTTTGTTTGAAAACAATTCCGTAGTACGTTTATTAATTAATAAAAGATAACGTTTGCTATCTCAGTCCAGTTTTCTAATTCATAGTATTTTGGGGTATTATATAGTTAGATTTCGATTCTTATAAGCTTTTTGCCGAGGAAAATTAAATTATCGTTGCAAGAACTTTCGTAAGCGTATTCCTAAAGAAAATAACTGCCAGCTGTCTCAAAAACCTCACTTTTGAAAACAGTTTCTACCGCATGCAATCGCATTTCAAGGAGTGTGCTCATGAGTCTCTGGTTTTTTTCTGAAAAAGACCCATTACACTGGATCATTACTAGTGATTTAATAGCTTGAAGAATGGAATTTTCATAACCAAGGCTGGCTTTCAAAAAGTACTTCATCTGCTTGTGCCACTAACGAGAAATAATAGTATTTTGCGCTTGTTTCAATCGACGCGTTCTTTCCATATGCAAGTTATACCTCAATAATTGTACAGAATATAGTTGTAATTGTACATATTATAGTCGTACAGTGTAGCCTACGACATTCCTGATCGAAACTATTCTTACCAAAACATCTGCAAATCACATTTCTATTCTTACCAAAACAGCTACCGTTAATATTCCCATATACATTTGATGGCATATGATTCAGATTGACTATAACGAAATAGTGTGTTGTTGAAAATAATTTTTAGTAAACAGTCTTTTGTCGGCATTTTCATTTCAATCTAGTCAGACATTACTCAGATTTCTGTCGCAAAATAGTGTACGACCACACTTGTCAGCCCGCATAAAAGCCCTGCCAAATTCCGGTAGTGGGAGTCCTTCTAACGCTAAAGCTGCGCTCATCTCTCTCTTTCTCAATTGTCCTAATATCTTCCCTAATAAATCTTCTATTAAGAACTGTGTATCTACCGCTTCACACAACCAGTCAGAGTCAGGTCAAAACAACGTATATGGTAGAACTTCATATCATGGAAGCCTCATTATTATAAAATTTTTGAGAATCATAATCAAGGGACTAATATGAAGATAG